TAAAAGAGGCATGAGATAGAATCAAAGGCGTCAATCCATGAAGAAAGCAAATTCAATCCTTCAAATAGAGATGAAGCTACTCCTCAAGACATGTAAAGAGGCATGAGATAAATCAAAGGCGTCAATCCATGAAGAAAGCAGATTCAATCCCTCATCAAATGGGAAACTGAACTCTTAAAAGAAAGCAAATAATAGTCAATATCTACTTTCAAGCATGAAATGAGTATAGAATGGCCAAATCCATGAACTAATGGATTAGAAGGATAGTTTCAACCATTATCAGATGGACAAATCATGTTTGGATGCTAAGAAAGTGCAAGAAATTGGAAAAAAAAATGAGATAATGAGGCTACAATAATCAACTATGGTTTTGGTTAATTATCAAGCCCAACAATCAATATAATACAACAATATACAAAAGAAATAGAGTGTTAGGAAAGAGAGAGAAAAAAAAAAGAAAAAAAGAAAGAAAAAAAACTTTTTACCATCTGCCAAGCCTCAAACAAGGAAGCAAGGAAAGAAAACTCTAACAATGTAAATCCTTCTCCAAGTCTCCATTTAAGCTTCCAAGAATCCTCCCAAGAAAGCTTTACACTCAGCTACTAATGGAGGATGGGAAAAAAGATGTTTGGGCAGAGTTTGGGCAAGATAAAGAGAGAGACTAACATCTTTTACTTTACATAAAGGGTGTTTATATAGGCTAAGGAAGCCTTTGGAATATGTCATTTTGCAAAGATATTTGGAATATGTATGTATGACATATTCCAAGATACTAGGGGATCACTCTGAAGAAATTGTTTGAGACGTCTGAAACCTGCGTCAGCTCAAATTTTTTTGCAAGCGCAAATATTACTTGCGGCAGTAGGAAATGAGTAACTACGGCCACGAATATGATCTCACCACATGATCACCCACGAGTATGATTGTCACCCACGGGAGCAACCACATGTATGATTTTTACTCGCGTGTATAATCTGCGACTTGGCTCATCTGCTAACCCATGGGTGGACCAATAAATTTGCGACTAACTATTTTCTTAAGTATTTTCCTCATTTCGTTAAATTTGAATTAGTCTTCGCTCACTTTTTTGAAAGAACAAGAGTTTTTGTTTGCGAAAATGTGGAGTTGGACTAAGTCAAATGCTCAAAATGGCATTTTGTATCCTTGAAATAATTTTGATAACATTTTAAAGGTTTTGAAATATTTTGGCAAAAAAAGGGTTTAGGGTTAGGAATCCTCTCCATTTAAAAGGTTTTGCTTAAAGCTAATTGGAAAGCATCTTTGTTTCGTTATTGTGGGATCATCTTGGAGGTGCCCCAGTCTTTAGGTCGTAAAAAATGGGGTATCTATAGCAAGGAGAGTCCCCAGAACACTAGATGCATAGGGCAAGGCGATGACTTGAGTTATGGTAGCTGGTTTGGGGTTAGGCTTAAGGTAAGGGTTAGGTTGTGTTTGAATCATGAAATTTAGTGAGGATTTGAAAAATAAAATGAAAAATTGAGGAAAATATGAATAAAATATAAATTAATTTTTTTCCGTGTTTCCTTTACCTTTTTCATTTCCTTTCCAAAATCATATCCATCTAAACACGACTTTAGGATTTTGGGATATTAGGAATAATTAAGGACAAAAGTTAATTTTAAGACGTAGTAAAATTGTAATACAAAAAATATGAAGAGTGGGAGTTTAGATAAAAAAAGAAAAGAAAAAATTACCCATAAATCCCATATTGAGGAATGATGATCCGTTTAGTCCCAAATATTTTCTTATAAATCAATTAGTTCTACTGATTTTGGAAATGTGAATTTAATATGTTTTTTTGAAAATTGGGTTACGGTTATACCCTTATTTTCATTATTTATTTATTTTTTCTTTTGTGCTAGAAATGTAAAATACACAACATATGAGAATCAAATTTGGGGTGAATTTTAATATGAGAATCTTTTTTGATTTGGAATGGCTTGAAATGTAAGATTCTTCAAACATTCCAAAAGGAGTAGAAAAATGACTTGAAATATAAGATTTTTCAAAACCACTATGTAAGTTTTAGATAATGTGTTATTTCGATTTGGAATGACTTGAAATGTGAGATTTTTCAAACATTTCAAAAAGAGTACAAAAACTCCTTAATAAGTTTTTAGGCAAATGTATAATTTCAAACTGCGCGGTTTTGATTTGGAATTTTGAAATAAGAGATTTTTAAACATTTCAAAAGGAGTACAAAATCCCTTAGTAAACTTTGGATAAATGTGTAATTTCAAATTTTGAGATTTTGATTTGGAATGACTTGAAATGTGGGATTTTTCAAACATTCAAAAGAATTACAAAACGTTGCCTGTGGGGATTTCAGTTATTTATGAGTATTAACTAGCATCCACAAGTATAAACTTTAGGGTTATATTGTCATTTCCATACAAATATAACTATTAGGTTCCTTAGATTATTTGGGGGACTTATTGATTATTAAGATATGAAAATAGAATTTTTGGTGCTTCTTCCTAAAAAAAATAGGGCTCTTAGTGTTACTCTTTAGAATTAGGAAGTGTTATAATGAGATAAAATACATATTTTAATTTTTGAAAAATATTGTAAATAAAAGGGAAATAATAATTGAAAAAATAATTTATGAGTAATAGAAAATTTTATAAATTTTAATGATTAAAATTATAAATATTTTCATGAATCCTTATTTTATTGTGTAAATTATAAATAAAACCTGATGTTAATTAAAATAAAAACTCATTTCTCATGTTTGAGAAATTGAGTAATGATGAGGCCTTCACCAAAGATCCCCACAAATTTAGACCACTCATGATGTGGACCTCACACATATCATGAGTGGGCACCACACATATATGGAGAGCCATGATTACTTTGGGGGTGTGGAGTCATTCCCAAATGAGGTCCCAAACATTTCCTTGAGAAATTACGGGTGTGTTTGTTTGTGTTTGTAGAGTAGTTTTTTTAATAAAAAGTACGAAAAACTTGTTTGGTTTATCTTTTTTCAGACATAGTTTTGAAAAATTGTTTTGGGGAAGATTTTTTTAAAAAGTGATTGATTTGATGTGTATGAGAGAGAGAGAGTGATTTTGGAAAGTAGGTAATCAAACAAAATTTGAGATTTTTTTTGAAAAAATTTGTTTAGTTTGAGTTACTCTTAAAAATTTATTTGTAGAGAATTTTTCTTAATTTTTTTTTCTAAAAAACAAACCAAACAAGGCCTACATCTCACCTTTGAGATTTCCAATCACATTATAAATGGCCTACTATCTAATTAACCGTTAAGTCAGACTAAAGTGTATAATGTAAACAATAATTTTAAAAAAATATATTTATGACTAATCTTTATGAAGTTAAACACTTTACTTATTTATTTTTCTTGTCAACTAGTAGCACCACTTTATCCAACCATGGCACTATGTTCTCTCACTTTTAATCAACACCACCTTTGTTAATGCCTACAAACAATTTAGTGTGTCATCCATGAGGATTAGAGAATATTATAATGATACAGAGAGATAAATTTGACAATAAATGGATGAAAATTAGAATAACATAATAATTTCATTTTGAATTATTTTTTTTTGGTTAGGTTAGTTACACAAAATTTGTTGGAAGAATATATTTATAATTTTCAAAACGTGAAAGAAAAATTTATATTTTTAACCAATTTAAAAAGAAAAAAATTGTCCTTACAATTTATCCTAATTATTTTGAAAAGACACCACACATTTGTAAATTTTAATAAAAAGGGATTCTAACAAGATAAAAGTGCAAATAGAAAGTGGAGGTGAGAGTTGAGAAATTTTTTTATAAATACATGCCGTTTGGTAACACTACATTTTTAATTTTCTATTTATATTTATAAAAATTTTAAAAATTCAAATAAAATTTATTTGGTAAAATTTTTGATTTATAAATCAGTGGTCTCAGTTTATAAATTTGGCTAAAAAATGAAAATACAAAAAATGTGTTTCCGTTTTAAGTTTTTTTTTTTTAGAGATTACCACCCAAACTAGCCATCACCGACTCTACCACCCTGCCTACCACCCCCCAGCCACACCATACTCATCATGCCACCTTGCCACCACACCACCCATCACCCGCTACCACCACCATTCACCTCGCCGCCAACCACCCACCGCCACACCCTCCACACCACCCCTACCCACCTACCATCCACCCATCACCACCTACCACCCTCCACTACCATCCACCGTCCGCCATTACCACTCGCCACCTACTTGCCACTACCATCCACTACCCATCACCACCAAGCCACCTCGCCACACCACCCCCACCACCACCACCCACCACCATCCATCAACCCACACTGTCACCACTACCCACCATCACCACCGCCTACCACACCTACCACCCGGCATCGTCACGCCACCTATCCCACCACCCACACCCACACGCACACCTACTTCACCATCACCACCGCCTGCCACATCGCGCCACCACCGCTAACCACCCACCACCACTACCCGCCACTGCCCACCCGCCCACCTACCACCACCACCCCCGCCACTTCTACCACTCAACACCCGCCACTCACCCACCCACCCACCACCACCACCGCCTACCTTACCATCCACCCACCCGCATCTGCCACCCATCTTGCCCCGCCACCACGCCCAGCACACACACACCCACCTCGCACCCACCAGCCCACCGGCACCCACACCCAGCACCACGCACATCCACCCCCGTCACCACCAGCTACCCACCACCCACCGTCACCACTTTCCACTACCGTCTCCTCCACCTGCCACTTGCATTTCTCACTCTTTTTATATTTAAATTTTTTTAAACATTTTTGGTCAATTATTAAATGCGTTTCGTATTTATATTTTTTTAAAAATAAATAAAAATTAATTTATAAAATTTTTATAAATATAAACTGAAAATCTAAATTTATCAATGACAAATATCTGTAATGAAATATAAACGAAAATGAAAATATAAACGAAAATGAAAGATTGTGTATTGATAATTTTTTTTTTGCCCAAATCGCCAAATAGAAACTCCTTATTAAAACAACGTAGTGGCGTACAAATGAAGAACGTAGTGGCGTATAAATGAAGATCGCGGGACTGAATTATCTGCACCAGGCTAATGTAAAATAAAACATTTGATAATTTGGAAGCAATAGCTGATTGAGGAATGAGCAAAATGGCGATGGTATTGCGGAGGTTAATAGAGGTCGGAGGCGTCGTGACAAGTGTGCTTCTTCTTCTTCTTCTTGATTGCGGTGCTGCTTCCCAAGTGCCTGTGCCTCTCGTTTCTCGAATTGCCTTCGGATCCTGCGCCAACCAAAGCGCTCCCCAGGTTGCTCTAATTCATCTTTAATCATAATAATTGTTCATTTTTGTTAATTTTATTTATTTATATTCACTTATCAGGCTACACACTACTGGCTTAGTTTTCTAAAAATATATACAAACATGCAATCTGAAGAATACTCATTCGGTGAAGGAATTACCATTCATTCCATTCTATTTTATATTCCCCTCAACCAAACAATCCAATTAGATTTTGTTTTTTGGCTTAAATTAAATGATAGCAAAGCATGCACCACTGATTTGATTGAAAAATTCTAGTCCTCCTGAGCGAGAGCCTTTTGAAAGGGTAGGTTTGGACATCAAGTTGCGAGGAGGTCCTCAAATTTTAACGCCAACTTGTTGAATATTTTGTTAAGATTCATGATGTTCTTCTACTTTTGAGTGTTTAAATTGGCTTTGCAATGAGCTGCCATTTTGTTCCTAGCATAACCTGATTTTGCATCAAGCTTTACACTTGGTACATATACGGTTCTGTACTTATTTGCCTGCAATCAAAGTCATTATAGAGAATATTCTGCAAATTTGCTTTAGGGGATCCATTTAACCACCTTATCCTAAATTTTTAGTTTCTTTCTAAATTTCTGCTCAAAATTTTCCTCATGGTATATGATTGAGTTTTATTATATAATAAATTTCCTAACCCATTTCTCTCTCTATAATGAGTCTCTCTCTCTCTCTCTCTCTCTCTCTCTCTCTATAATGAGAGTTCTGCCTTGGGATTTACCACTGGTTTTGTCCAGTGTTCTCCAATCATCGTGGTTTCTACCTGTGATTAATCCTTTCCTACCTTTCACCTATTAGATTTCCCAACCCAAATTTGGTCTCACTCTCTTGCTCTGTCCCTTCTCTCTTGTTCCATCTCTTGCTATTGCTCATCCACTCTTGTCCCCTATGCTCTTGCCCCTCTAGGTATCACTTGCTTCTTTCATGGCTTGACAATCCCATCCCCCATAGGAGCATGATGGCATCTCTCTCGAAGAAGTTTCTGGCGAGAGTGTTGAGACCTCTAACCTTTGTTTGATCGGGAAGATTTTGGCTCCTGAGATTCTCAACAAGAAGGCGGTGTCTAATATTATTAGACGGGCCTGGAAAATACGTGGTGAACTATCTGTATCTCCATGGGATGATAATGTGTATCTTTTCGAGTTCAGTGACAGTGATGACCGGCACAAGGTGCTCCGAGATGGTCCATGGTATATCTCCATGGAACGATAATGTGTATCTTTTCTAGTTCAGTGACAGTGATGACCGGCACAAGGTGCTCCGAGATAATCCATGGCCGGTTATGGGAAATCTTCTAGCACTTTAGCCTCTAATGATTGGCCAGACTGTGGAAGAAATGAATTTCCATTGGTGCCCATTTTGGGTCCAAGTTCATGGACTACCACTCAATAATCTCACTAAACATAATGGTGAGATTCTGGGGAGGTGCATTGGGAGACTAATTCGTGTGGAAGCTCATATTGAAGGACTATTGCTATACCGTAATTTCCTTCAGATAAGAGTAGAAATTGACACACAACAACCCTACCAAAAGGAATTTGGCTCCAGAGATCTCGAGGGGGAGGTGAGTTCTGGCTTACTTTTAAATATGAAAAACTTTTGGATTTCTGTTATGATTGCGGGAGATTGGGGCACGAAAGCAATGTATGTAAATTTGTATCAAAAGAACAAGGTGCTTCATCAGGTATGGACCCAATTTGCAGACCGGAACTGCTAGTCCAACTGGCATCCACATTGAGCACTACCGTCGACAGGTCGATGAGCTGGAAAAAAAGGGTTGCTTTTGGCCTGAAGAACATAATCGTCTCTCCATCGGAGAATTCACCGGCGCGTGCTAGTACCACGATTGGGCCTTCAAATTATGCAGACCTGTCATCCCCAATTTCACCTTCCCGTACAGAGTCATGCACTACGTCTCTGTCCTCTCAACGGACAGTTAAGGTCGGCTTGCTAGGTGGAGATCGCCCTAATTCACCATCTGTCCAAACAGTAATTTAGGTGCCTCTTGTTTTACCTAATTTGGGGCAACAAAAATTACCTACGCACAAGGATAAGGATGGGGCAACTGGGCTGGATTTCTATTTGGGCCCTATCAGTAGTTCAACCCATAGAATTGAGAGGCCTTTTTCTCCAAACCTTAAGCCCAACTACTTTGTTACAGAGCCTCTAGATAGCCCACAAAGTGACCAAGCCCATCCTTTAGGAGGAGGGGATCCTAGTGATGAGTTGCCATCTTTTGTTCTAAGAAGCCCAATCTCAACTCTGATATCTCAAAACCCACCACATGTTTTAGATGGGCTCTTGTCTTCAGCCTTAAAGCATCTAAAGCTCAAAAGAAAAGGGGCTAAAGACAAGGACCTACCTCTGCGGCACTCGAAGTGTTAAAGTATTGAAGGACCAAGCCTTCCTATTCAGAGTTCTTCCCAGAGCTTGCTTCTCCCTCCCAGTGCTAGTAGCATGAAGAAGTAAGTGTGTGTGTCAATTTCCGACCACACTGCCAATCAAGCACTCAGCTGGAGAACACTAGCAGAATAGATTAAGCCTGAACAACCTATCACAGAAAGATAAGAATCCCGCGGTGGTTTGTCTACCCGGGGGCACTCCGACGATCAAGTCAGTTATCTTTCAAAGATAGCAAAAGTGCTTAACTCACTATTCAGAGTATAAAAAGCATACCTTAGATCCATGGGGGTGCCTCTCTTTTATAGCCAACACAAATCTAGTCCCAATAGAAGCCTAGCTCTAATGGACTTAGGATTACTGCTAATCTTGGACTCCCAGTAGGATTAGGATAAATTCTCTAATAGTCTTATCTTTACCCAAACTGAAGTCTTCTCCCATTCTAGGACTCTTGTCCCTTATCCGCTTATCCCGAATTCCGGTATTCTCGCAGATAACCTCGGCCTAGCCGAGATCATCTCGGTGTCATGACCAAGACATGTGGCACCCCGGCCGGCACTTCGGTGACACCTCGGCCATGTGTCGTCATTCAAAATTTATGTCCCCACAGTAAGCAATTTGGGAAAATCCAAGATTGAGAAAAGGAGAATTTCCAGAGGGAGAAGAGCTACCAAGCTGGAACAAGGTCTAGTGGATGTGGAAATTTCAAAGGCTATGAGAGTCATTGATGTAGCGTCTTCCTTCCCTAATGAGTGTAAATTCAGTTTGCTTTGATTTTGATGAGAATGTATCTCAAGTTTCTAGTACTTGTTTGGATTTGGAATCAGGTGTTCATGCATGGGCTATGATGGTTGGCCCTAAAAGCCACATGAATCATGCTGATTTTGAGTTGGAATTGTCAGGGGTTGGGGTGACTCCTAACATTCCAGATCTTACAAGGGTTATATATGACCCATCGTCCCTCAATAATTTTCCTTGTAGAAACCAAAAATAAGCAATTAGTTCTAGAGAGGATTCGTCGAAAGCTCCACTTTCTAAACAAAAGCTATGTCGACCCTGTTGGGTTGTCAGGAGGTCTTGCTTTGTGGTGGAAGGAAGAGGTGGACATGAATGTGAGCTTCAAGTCCCCAAATATTTTTAAATGCACAGTATCTATGGGATTGATAGCTTCTAGTTGGCTTGCCACCTTTGTGTACGCTCCTCCTCGCTGGGCTGATAGAAGAGCTTTTTGGCAATATCTAAAAAAATTTGGCTTCTTAAAATGGGTATCCTTGGGTCTGTATGGGGGATTTAAATGAGGTGGGTAGTCATGGGAGAAACCGGGTTCTGCAAGATAGAATAATGCTAGAATGCAACAGTTTCCAGACCTACTATCTGAGTGTGAGTTAATGGACCTTGAGTTTAAAAGTGCACCATATACGTGGACTAACAACCAATCGAGTGTCAACAACGTGAGGGAAAGACTAGACAAAGCTTTGGCAACAGTGAGTTGGAGACAATTGTACCCCTATGCGCAAGTGCATCATGAAGCAATGGTGGGGTCTGATCACTGTCCCTTCTTCTACACTGTCACATACCTCCCAAGAAGATACCACACCTGTTCAAATTCGAATCCATGTGGACTACTAGCCCGGATTGCTTTAAAGCTCTATTATCAGAATATTACGATTTGATTCGCAATTTTTGCAAAATCGATATGAATCTATGGGTGAATCTATTTTGAAAGTGAATCTCTTGTGAATCGCACGATTCACAATTGATTCAGGATTTGATTCACTTTTTATGATTTATGCAATTTTTAAAATTGTTGTGTCCGACAAATTTTCGATTTTTTTTCTCTCCATCTTTTTAGTAAAAATGACATAATACAATTTCTAATAGCGTTTAATACCAAAATAACCAACATATATACATGATTTGTTGTTATTTTAGTGATCATGGAGTTTTTAATAGGATCCAATCAGATTTAGTCAGACCCAACATATTTTTAACCTTTCTTCTCATTTTTTTTTCCTTTAAAAAATTATAATATATTTTCTAAAGATGTTTAAGATTAAAGTTACACTACGAATTATCTATTGCTATTTTATTAAATTGAATATAATTGAATATTAAATGTGTGAGGTCAGTTATACCTTTTAAAATGTTTTAGGCTTTAAAATAAAAAATTCTGAAAAATTCTTTCTTATTATTTACTCATTGTTACTTAGAAAAGTATGTGTGCATATTGTCCAAATATTAATATTGTTGTTGATTATTATTACTTTGGAAATTGATAGTTTGTCTATTTGGTTATTATCTTTATTAAGAATGGTTTATAAGAAATATCTAAAAAAGTAAAAAGGTAAGATAGTGATCTTACCTAGGAACCTTTGTTAACTTCTTACCTATTAGACTACGCGATTACCATTCAAAATAACATTTTCATTGATTTAAGTCTAAATATTTCACAGTCCTAATATATATTTAACATCTAATGTGTACATATATGTTTTTAAGTAATTTAGAAAAAGTGACCGAATCTTTACGATTTATAATTCGATTTGATTCGCAATTCAGTACGAGGCCATTTCGACCCATGAT